CGATCAAAGGGCAGTTCTGTGTTTACTTTTTGTACCATCTTCTGGTCTCCCCAGGGATGGCCAGGGCTCCAGTTTCTCCTCATCCTCTTTGTCATGCTTTGTTTTGTTTTCTTAATAGTCTTCCTAGTGGGTATGAGGTGGTGACTAATCACCTTCAGTCGGAATTTTCTCTCTTGTCAGAGCAGTCGCCGCACCTCCTTGATTTACGTGTGATTCGCGTTGGGGGCATTTATAAGGAGCAGTTTGCCTTGACGAGCAGGAAGCGAGTAGCTGAAGCTCATTCCTTCATTCCTTCATTAGCTCACTGTGCGCGTTTTTTTTGTTTGTTTGTTTGTTTTGTTTTTTTTTAAAGCTCTGTTTAAATGAAACACAGAGAAAATGTCTCTGGGCTTGCCACTTGCCCGAGCTCACTCTGGAGAACACTGTCTAGTACCAAGAGCCCCAAGTCATCCGTCTGCGTGATGACATTTGATGCCAAAAGCAAGCCCTCTCCTGTTCCTCCAGGGGTGTCTAGTGAGCCAAGACCATTATAGTTAATTCTGATCAAATTCATGGGGGTACAGTGTCAGAAGGGAGCGCTTCTCTCACACAGAGCGTTTGACTTTCAGATTATTCTTTGTTGGGTTCTGTTCACTTTAACGAGCACGACTGAGAACCGCTGCTAACGTCCATGCACACGGCGACATCCCCATGCAACCTCTGTATTTCAGAAATCATTACGAATTCTTGACCCAAACGTAGGTGACTCTTATGCTGTCTTGGAAATCTATTTCTGACAGATGGTGAACACTCTCCTTAATTTCCATTTAGTTTCCTTCCGTAAGTAAGATAACGTATCAGTCGATGAAACCCCCTCCATTTTAAAGCCCGGTAATGTGAAGACTCCTTATTTGACCAAGCCTCCTGTCTTTATTTTATTTTTTTTGTCCTCCCACATCATTCGCTTAGTGTGCTTTGTGCATTTCATGTGTCCTCCATCACTTGTTGGGCGGCATAAGCATATCACATAGAGGATTAGAGGAAAGTGATTTTGTGCTTAGAAAATAATTGAATGAAGATTTACTTGGTGACTCTAAGCTACAGGATAGCTTCAGATTTTAAAACCTATCATTTGGTTATATAAGCAAACATGCCCCCAAAGTCTTGGAAAATGGGGCCTCATCTCTGTTTGGCCAGCCTGTGCTTGCTTAAGCAAATTCTTATTTAATCACCAAGGGGCCAGCTCCAGGACACACCATGGAGCGGGAGGACCCTTCCGTGATGCGTGTCTCCATTTCGTGCCTGCCAAGGTCAGACAAATATGTATAAGATCCACACGGTGTGACAGAGCTGCCTTGTCTCCAGCTCTCCCCAGCTCCCCTGGCTCCATACAGCATGGTGAGATGAAGACCTTTAGAATTAATCAATAAAAACCGCTCCTGATTTTTAACCTGGGGAAATTCTATGCTGACCATCTCCAGGTAAACCCGATACATTTAATCTGTTCCTCATTCTTTGGCTACCCTAGCAAGACTTCTCAAATGTTTGCATTATATTATCTTACAAAATATGCATTATCCAGTTTAGTTAGGAACTTGAAACCCAAGGTCAAGGCCCACCAGCCGTCATTTCGGAATCTCTGGCCCTTGCTCATCTTCCTGGGGTGGCCTTTCCCAGACCAACCGCTGTGTGCAGCCCCAGGCTGCCACCACATCCTCTTCCCTGCCCCTGGAGTGGGGGTGGGGTAGGAGGAGGGCGTAACTGGGCTTTCTCTCCTTGTCTTACTCACCTAAGCATGGGTTGTTTCTTCTTCCTCTGAAGGTCGTCCATTCTGAATCTTAAGTCTCGGAGTAAGCCTTACAAGGCTTTTATCTTCCAGGTAGCTCACATGCATGACCAGCCCTCAGAGGATCCATTTCTCTACCTGCCGTTGGGTGAATCTAGATCTTTCTAGATGGGACTTTCATGTGTAAGGCAGGAGGGAGGAGAGGCAGCTAAGGTAGGCTAGGAGGAAGTAATTTTGGGGGTAGATGAGACTTTTTTAACTGTGCCTGCAAATTATACTGTGTAGTGAGGGCCTCCTGGGATAAAATTGGATATAAGACTTTTTTTTTTTTTTTTTTTTTTTTCTTTGAGGCATACGGTAGAAGTATCTGGTGGTTTGAGATTTATATTAGCATGGACCGGTAGTTGGGAATAGAAAGGACCGATACAAAAAAGCCATCCAAATGGATTTGATAAATACAGGTTTTCATAAATGTTCACCTGAACTAAACCCCAAAAAACCCCATATGTCGAACGATTAGGTAAGGGAATCCGAATGCTCGTCTTCCCTTCCAAACTCCATATCCATATTCAACTGTGATGGGGAAATAAAGCTCCTGCTACCCTTTTCCTTGCATAATTTCGCTTTCTGACTCCAATGAGTGAGCTGATGAGACGGGTTTGTGCCATCCAGGTTCCGCTTCACCACCTGCCCATCCTTAGGGAGGGTTGCCCTGGGGATGTTTTTAGCAGAAACATTGTGGAAAAAGCTGTTCTGAAGGCTTGGAGGAGCTAAGTGCTGCCCTTTGCGGTGTCTTGAGCCTGCTGGGGCAGCCTGGGGGCTGCCTGTCCCTGGCTTCACTGTCCTCTCCTGCCCTCCTGGCTGGCAGGTGTGGTGGGAAGGGCAGGCAGCCACGGAGAACACTTCTGTCGGGCGCCTCTGCTCCCAAAAGGATGCTTTTCAAGATCTCTTTTATTGTCAGCTTCCTGTGTATGGTCCCCTCCTGTGTCCAATGCCACCTGCTCATTCCAGGCCCACATATTTTTTTTTTAAAGATTTTATTTATTTTTTTGACAGATATCGCAAGTAGGCAGAGAGGCAGGTAGAGAGAGAGGGGGAAGCAGGCTCCCTGCTGAGCAGAGAGCCTGATGTGGGACTCAATCCCAGGACCCTGAGATCATGACCTGAGCCGAAGGCAGAGGCTTTAACCCACTGAGCCACCCAGGTGCCGCTCACGTATTTTTTTTTTAACAGAAGTATTTTTATACTGATATTGTATTATGACCACCTTTAAAAAAAAAAAAACTAATAAGAAAACAACTGTCCGTTATCTACTACCCTGACAGGGCGCCCCCTCATCTTCATCCTCTGGTTATTTTATCTATCTAAAACACACACACACACACACACACACACACACACACACACGTAATACGTATATTTTAAATATATATATAATTCCTTTCAGGTATTCATTTTCCTGTTCCCCATGTCTAAAATCTTGGCATCGTCTCTCACATCTTTTTTTCCTCCTGTCAGTGGCTTAGGACACAGTGGAAGGAAAGGGGAAACGATATTTTGTGTTTGATACAATGTAGGTGTTGACGCGTATTATGTTGGGTCATGAAGACTCAGGTATGGACTGTGAAGGGACCCATCCAAATGACACATGATAAGACATTCAGCAGTAGCTTTGGTCCCTTGGAAAGTCAGGTCTGTTCTTCTGCAATTTCTCTGGTATCTGTTATTTTCATTTCTTAGCAGACCGAATAATGATGGGCGATTACTTTCATTCGTAGACCAGGCAAGAGGCTTCTAATTGGGCCTCCTGGCCCAGATCTAGTCCATTCAGTTCTTCCTGTTGCCACCATTTGCCCTTCTAAAGCACCGTTTTTGTCCACGTTACTCTCGTTCAAATCTTACGTGGCTGCCAACGCTCATCAAAAACATCCCGAGTGTCTTTGTGGCCACTTGGGCCCTCTGCATGGTTTCCTTGCACGAGGCGTGGGACTTGTTCTCCTCCTGGGATTGCCACAAACCTGCCACCTTCTCCCCCTTCCTGAAACAACTGACCGTCTTCAGTTGGCTTGTCTATGGCCACATGCGCCGGGAATTGTGGTCTCGTTGGGGGAAAGAAAAGAGCCCTGATTCTGGGGAGCTCTGTTCCTTCTGCAGCAACGACTTAGGGCTCACCCACTGTTTATGGTGGGATATCTTTTAGCACATTGTTCAATAAAGAACAGTAGAGTAGTTGGTCATACCTTTAGAGACTCCAAGCTCTCGAGGAAGGACTAACCAGGTCGTTTATCTTTTTTTGGATCCTCCACATTAACCATAGAATCTCTTAGGGGATTACTTATTAATTTCTATAACAATTCTTTTATTGACCCATCCTGAATATTTATCAAAACCGCATTGAACTTGGGAAATATTTGCTCTGTGGTAGATCTGTGGGGCCCTCCTCAACGGGTGATAGTCTCTATGGCAAGCGTGCATGTGCAGGAATGTGTGACTGTGTTTGCCTTTTCTTTCTTTTTCATTTCAAAGGGCTGTTTTCTGTAGATTGGGTTTGTGTCCTTTTTTAAGATTTTATTTATTTGAGATAGAACGAGAGCAGACAAGGGGGAGAGAGAGCACGAGCAAGGGAAAGGGCAGAGGGGGAGGGGAAGCAGACTCCCCGCTGAGCAGGGAGCCTGATGTGGGGCTCAGTCCCAAGACTGTGGGATCATGACCTGAGCCTAAGGCAGACGCTTCACTGACTGAGCCACCCTGGCACTCTCTGGGTTTGTGTCTTAATGAGTTCTTTGAATTCAGAATTCTGCTGAGGAAGTTCTATAACACACAGGGATGTCACTCTATGTATGATCTGTTATTTTTTTTCTTTTCCCCCTTTATATGCATGCGTGTGTATTGGCATAGGACTGTGCAAAGTAGTTTAAGTTTTGATTTCTGGTTTATATCTTGGGCAAGTGTCTTAACGATCACTGTCCGACCCCCCTCTAACTTTAGAGAATAGGAACCAGGGTTTGGGTCTCCTTGGGCCCTGTCAGACCTGACATTTTATGGTTCTATTATCTCTAAGTCCAATTAATACCAAATGTTGCTGAGTCTCGCATAAAATGTCTTCTGATTGCTGTTGGGAGACTCTGTCTGTAGTGAAATCAAGCTGACTTCTAGAGGGACATAGAGCCTCGTTTTGGAAAAACACAGCCTGTGTATTAAATTACTAATTTTAGTTTTCTTTTCTCTCCACCAGTTTGCTGTTTTGTGGTTCACAAGAGGTGCCACGAGTTTGTCACTTTTTCTTGTCCGGGTGCGGATAAGGGACCTGACACCGATGTAAGTAGTCTGGAAACTGTTACTTGGTGTTAATGTAGATCTCTGACTTCACCGTTTTGAATGCCGGCCCAGCTGTTTGGGCACACACTCGCAATGGGAAGACTTGTCAGTGAGTCCTGCATAATTTCAGCTTGTACTGATGAACAGATCTCTAGTCCTTTGGAGCCCTGGCAGGAGAAGAATTTCTTAGCTTTTACCCTCCACTGTGGGCAACCGTGTGGGGGCTAACCCCACTAATTTTACAGCAGGAGCTTTCACAAACACGGTGTGGTTCTTTTCCGGAGATGTTGACAAATTTCACAACAAATGTAAATCACCCTTTACTGTCCACCCTAAAGGTCTGTGGACTAAGAGGCCCATCCTTGCTTTGGGCCAATGTAACTACCTCCTCCTAGTTCACTTCCATGAGATCCTTGCTGCCTTTTCATTATATATTACAAATGCTGCTGTTGATTTAAATAATTTAGCATCTGTTCCACTGAACAACTGATCTATGAAGCTGCCCGTGTGTGAACACATAATTTTATTTGTGCCCTAATTCTGCCTGTCTCTAGCAAGCATCTCTCTTACATCTCTTGTTTACTGAAAAGTGGGATCAGTAAAGGAGAGTGGGAGTCAGGCATGGGAAATCCCAATATCTAAAATACATTGAGCAGAAAATTGGGTTGTTACGTGGAAAATATTTTAACAGCGGAAAAAAAAAATTTGCAGAGGATGACTGGAAGAGGAAACCTTTCTATTCTGAGTTGCTTTTGCTGGATCACTTCAGTCACTAATACTTAAATTACATGCTCTGAGTGTGGTTCCTACCTTTGGTTCTTGTTCCCTTCAGGAAACACAGATTTCAAAGTGGCTCTGTCTGGGCAGGCAGGGCTGAATTCTTCCCTTTTCTGAAGAGGGCGTACTCATGGTGAGCTCTGAGGGGCTCAGATGTGCATGGTTTTTAGCACATGTAATGAAGGAATGGACCGCTTCGCCCTGAGCATGTGGAAACATGCTGTGTTTTGGTTAAGGTACTGGTGGAAGCCACACAGAGCAGGAACCTTGGGCTCAGAGCCACCCCCGGCCCACAGAGCCAGAGCCCCAGAGCCTCAGAGATCATCCTGTTCTCTGTCTTCAGGGACCAGAAAGCCCATGTCCGTGAACGACCCACCTGCATACAAAACAGTAGTGTACTCCATCTGACCCTTGCATGTTCCCCTTCTTTCTGGATTATTGTCTCCATTTGGGGCAGAGGTAAAAATAGATGCAGATGAAGAGTGCCAGCTTTCCTGAGAGTTGGCCTTGAGTATCACATGGTGTTTCTTTGGCCATTTTGCTCATTTTCCTAAACCCATTCTTCTATTCTCCCATTTTGGCTCCAGCAGGAATGGGGTGGGGCAGGGGCCAGTAGGAGTGTGGCTGTTGCCCGACCCCTCTCCCTTCTTCCACTTCTTCTTTCTTTTGGTTAAGTGCTATCTATCTATTCATTTTAAAGTTTTATTTATTTGAAAATGAGAGGGCACCCGTATACACGCACAGGGAAGTGGAGGTAGAGGCAGAGAGGGGGAGGAGAGAATCTCAAGTAGACTCGCCACTGAGTGCGGAGCCTGATGCACGGCTTGATCTCATGACCCCAAGATCATGACTTGAGCCAAAATTATGAGTTGGGCACTTGATTGAGCCACCCATGCACCCCAAGTACTCGTTATTAAGTACTTAATATGGGGGAGGATAGACATGGAAAATATCACTAATTAAAATAGGGTAGAGGTTCTCTGACTGTGTTTACCCAAGGGACCTACTCTAGGTGGTCAGAGGCTTCCCCAAGGAAATGGCATTAAACCAAGCTGTGGGAACATGTAGGAGATAGGCATGCACAAGGGGGATGTGTGTGTGTGCGTGTGTGTGCGCGCACGTGCACACGTGCGCAGTGGGGCATGAGGAGCCCCGTGAAAGACTGTTTTAGGCAAGGGGGAAAGCAAGTGAGAAAGCGCTGAAATGGGAAATTCAGTGTGGGAGAGAAAAAGAAGAATCTGGTCATCAGGCAGTTGGGGATTTTGAACACAATCTTAAGAACAATAAGGATCCAGAGAAGGGCTTTAAATTAGGAAAAATGTTGGTCCTGTTTGCATGGTATAAAGGCTTCTCTGGTTTCCTTATGGGAAATGGACCAGTTTAGGAAGTGGGCCTCATGGATGGGGAAGATGGGGAGTGCCAACCAAAGGATGAAGTATCGGTCCTGAGGGCAAGGTGACGGGGGCTTGGGGGAGGTGGCAGCGATAGGGGTGGGCAGAGTGAACTCATTCGAGATACATTTAGGAGCTGAATCAGCAGCTCTCGGCCATTGGTGGGGCATCAGGGAGATGGAGATGTTGAGGAAAAACTCTTGGGCTTCAGTCCGAAAACTATGAATGGATGGAGGCCATCAAGACCATGGCAGGAGACTGTATTTGGGAGTGTGGGATAGGACAGATCAAGGGCTTCCCTTCAGACACGTGCAGTTTGAGAAGTCGCACACTGAGGATACAGCTGTCTGTGAATGCAGGTGTGGAGGTGGGAAGTACAGTACATCTTTCTGAGGATGCAGATTCCTCTGTTCTTTGTTAGTTTTAAGCTTTGGGCATGGAGATCATCTTGCCTAGAGATGGGGGTAGATGGAATGAGAAGAAAAGAGATTAGGACCCAGAAGAGAACTCTAGTAGATTGGCTGGAAGAGGGAAGGCAGGGAAGGAGGGAGACCAAGGAGGAGTCGGCAGAGAAGTAGGAGGAAGACAGAGTGATGCTGTTTTAGCAATTTCCTAGAAGGGCTGTAGGCCAGCTCTCTGCTTATGTCATGAATTCTGAAAGCTTTGGTTACTACGCAGGGTTAATATACATCCCGGTTTGCGCAGGACTGTCTTGTTTACACGGGGAGTCTTGGTTTGTGCCTGCTACAGATTAGCTAATGTCTGTTAAGTTCTTACCCTGCTTTGATGATCATTAAGAGGCCACCATACTCCTAGATCCCCAAGCCAGGCAGGAAGCCTTAGTGCCGGTCTGTTGGTCATACGATAAACGGGACACACACCTGTGATCTGATATGCTCATCCGAGCTCTGTCCCCACCCCGTGTTGTGTTGATCTGCCGGAAATGCTCAGTGTCACATTTTAATATCTGCAGAAGTGAAGATAAGAGATTTTTTTTTTTTTTAATATGAGGGGGAGAAAAGTACTGAGCAGTCTGTGCGTTCTCTTCCAAAGAGAAAATTTGCGTCTTTGTTGTTGGCATCGACAGGCTGACGATGAGGGCTTCCTGCCGCCAGGGCTGTCTGAGGGCAGGGTGATTTATTTATTGCACAAATCCCAAACTGCCCAGACGCAACAGCAGGGGGGCAGCCAGAAAAGCACAAAGGTGTCAGGACACAGTGCTGAGATGAGATGGTAGAATTTCCTTATTTTATCTTTTCTTGACTATGACTTAAGGTCCTAGAATTAGAGAGTTGAAAAGGGTGTTAAAGAATTCTCTAGGTTAGCTTTACTTTATGGATAAGGAGACCGAAGCCCGTAGAAGAAAGATATAAATGATCCGGTGGCACAGTGACTTGGCCCGTGAGGGTCCAGGAGGTTTGTGGTTGACTCAAGGCCACGAGAGGAAAGAGGGGGTGCCGTGGCCAGGTCGTGCTGTCAGTGGAGACATTGCTAGCTACTACCTTGGTGTAATCCTTCAAAGTTCTGTTCGGACGTTTACAAAAGTGCTCAAGGGCATGGGAAAGGCCACTTAATGGAATGGAAGGACCAGGAAACACAAAATACAGCTTAAGAGAAAAAACCACCGTAAGCATTTTTTTCCCTTGAAAATCTTAAAGTTTCTCGATGAAGATTTGTTTCCTACATGACAGGTGCTTACAAGGCACACGGCTCATGTGCTGCTTAACGAGGCCGGCCCCACAGACTCTGGGGCCTCCCCACATGGGGACCAAGCAGGGGCAGACCCTGGGGGGTGCACGGATACCGGATTACCTCTTCAGGATGAAAGGACAGGCACTGAAAAGTGTGACATTAGCACTGCCCAGATTCCAGGAACCAGAGAGAAATAGTTAACAATTCTTTTGAACAGAGATCATCTTCAAGACTCAAGGAGTAGGCTCGTTGAAAGGATGCAGACATGTCAGGAGCCTTGGGGATTAGAAAGGGTGTCTGGGTTCCACAGAGGCACGGAAGGACCCCTCTCCCATCACCACCCACCTCCCCACCAAGGCAGGGCCAGGATGGCAGACCCTCCCTACCAGCAGGTCTGGAGATGAAAGCCAGGCATTTCTGAGACTTCAAGTGCAACCCCGGTGCTCAGCAAGGAGAGAGGAGAGGAAAAGGGGAGAGTCGGTGTCAGAAAGGCACTTGGAGTCAGTGCAGGATTTGTGCGGCCTCAGAAAGCAGCTCGGCGCTCTGCTCAGCACCTCAGCCCCGTGTCTAAGATCTTGCAAGACCACAAAGGGATAAAACAAAACCGGCCCATGTTGAGAAACCGCGAACCTCCTCCTGCCACCTCCTCGGTCCCCCATTAAGGCATGAACTAGGACATGGACAAGCCTTGCCTTTGGGGGGTGATTTTTGCTCTTGGAAAGAAATGACCATGCTTTTGCCTCGTCAAACGCCATGCGTTTGCCACTGATCCCCTGAGCTGAGGTTTTTCTCTTGGTGGCTCTGGCCACAATGGGGTGAGGCGGGCGGGGGTGGGCTGGGTCCTAGAGGGCGGACTTCCTCAGACTCCTGACCTTCACCTTCTAAAATTTCAGCTGCCCAGCTGCTTTGTCCTTCAGTCTGGAACGCTTCCTGCTTGTTCGAACTGGCTCCGCTCAAATGCCGTCTGTCCCTGCCGCCCGCCCTGCAGGAGGGCCCCGGGGTGCTCAGGGCTTCCCAGGTGCATGTGGGTGTGCGTTCGTTTTCCTTCAGTACTTAGTGATTTCTGTGTGTGCCGTAAGGGAGAGAAAACTATGAGGATCCCTTTCAGACATTCCTCCCTCATCAGTCCTTCCTCATTCC